CTGCAATGAGTTACTGTATGCAGTAAACCCGGGAGACATTGTTCTTTGTCTGCAAGGGGAGCACATCCTTGCCCATGAAACTTTCATGACAACGAACACGCACCCCCTCTGGAGTGCGTGACCTCAGACTCCCCTCTCCTTGCCGGATGAAGTTCATGTGTGTCCATGTCTGTTCCAGCCAAGTGCACGGCCATCTCCTGCGTGTGTCCGGGTCAGGGATGGTGGGTGGTCTTTGCTGAGGTGCAGGCTATCCAGTCTGGACTGAGAGGGGCAGGTCTTGTTAGACTCGGGGTGGACATTTAATATCCTCAGACCTGAGAGCATTTTTTAATGACACGCAGTCATTTAAACTATTTTAATAGTACCTGCTTCTGAGATGATCAAAGTATTTTACAGTTACAGTAACTTAGTTTCCGTTTCGTTGAATTCTCATAACTCGGCTTAGGTAGGAAAAGCCCCCCATAATATTAAACGGTAAGGTTTCAGAGGTTCAGGGGCCTCCTGGGGTCAGTACTACAGGAAGGTGGTCTGCATTGCCTGCCCTTTATCGGGCGCTCTCCCCGAAAGGCGGTGGTCAGGCAGAAGGCTGGCCTCATGTTCAAGAGAGGGTTTCCTAATGTTAAATTTGCCTCTATCTGTGTGACCTTGACACATTTCCTAGTTTATTTTCTCACTGTCAACTCAGTGGAAATGCTGGGAATCCTCTCCATCAGTAGTCCAGGATTGGGTGACACCGTCAAGGATAGATGTCCTTGGAAGAAAAGCCAGTGTGTGCACCTAAGATAGTTATTATAAATTGGCAGTAACGTCGTAACCACTGCTTGAATTGAGACCTATTTCAGAGTCTGTGAAATCATCCATGTTAAGTAAACTAGAATCGTAGTCTGGTGCCAACTGCAGGTCCTCGTTGTTGGGGGCGGGTGTGCGAGTGGAGGAGGGACGCTCAGCTGTCATCGCAGGCATGGGCCGCCGTGTTATTTTTGCTTTTATTTTGCTTCTTGCTGGAAGGGAATGTGAAGAAAGAAGCTTCTGTTTATTTTTGCTATTTTCATTTTTGTAACTTTTTATGCCCCAGCAAAACGTAACACAGTAATTTTTTTTGGTAAATGTTTTGCCTTCAAGGGAACTTAGAAATCTAATCAGCACCAAGTGCAACAATTCTTTATGCTCTTGCTGAGATTTATGAAAGGTAAATGCAAAGATGACAGCGCAAGGGTAAACTTTGTTCTTTAACAGCCCCTTAACAGCCCTTTAACAGTGACTCTGGGCCATTTGCAGATTTCCACGCATCTGACTTTTACCTTAACAACCTTTGGTTGTGGGCAGTGTTACAATTTTGAATCTAGGCTCTGCCCCTCAACTGGCAGAAGTGATAATGACTTTCAATCGAATGACCTTGGCCTCGCTGAGTATAGTAGTGCCTGGCTCGCTGGGCTCTGAAGGAGCGCACATGCTGCATGTCAGGCACAGGGGGTCTGACAGATGCCTACTCTCATTGTTATTAAAGGAAATTAAGATCAAGCCGACTTGAATAGAATACAAAGCTACACCCATTGACAGAGGGATTACAGCCCTGTGACCTGTGTCCTTTCTGATCAAAATATTTTTAGGAAGACTTCATACATTGGTTAAGCTTAAAGAAGGGTAGGCCCCTGTCACGTGGCAGGACATTCACTTAGTGGACCATTTCCTGTCTATGTGACTGAGTAAACTGATACCGTAATAATCCGCTGGGAGGGGCGCGTGTAGGGAGAGGATCTGGACGTATTAAGACTGACCATCCTCTCAGGTTTTACCATCAGTAACAGGAGTTGTAGGAGAAATGAAATGCTCCATTTCCAGGGTGATGTGTGTGAGCTAGGCACCCTGAATTCCACCACTCTGTCCACCAGGCACACTCAGGACAGAACATCCGCCCTTCCTTCCTACGGTTTAAGTGTGTGTGTGTGTGTTTGTTTCCTCGTCAGTCCTCAATTTCCTCATTTCCAAGAAGAGTCAGCATTTCTCCTTACTCACGCAGCATTTGATGGAGAAGAGGGGCAGGTTTCCATTCACCAGGTTTACTGGGTCGCTGTGGTGGGCCAGGCAGTGTTCTAGGCTCCAGGGAGCCAAAGGTGAGTGCGCTCAGAAGGCACCTGTTCCTGTCACATGGGGGAGACCCACGGAGCCACGGGTCAGGGCTGGAGGGGGCAGAACTGGTAACATGGATGAGGAACGTGGGTAAGGCATGGGGCCGTCGGGAGGCTCAGATGGGAAGCACCTAGGACCGAAAAGGTTCCTGGGCAGAAAGGGAGGGTCTCCAAGAGAGAAGAGCAGAGGAAGGCACTTTGCCTAGTGCCTGGGCTGTTGATTTCGGTCTGGATGACTCAGCTCTTTAGGGGCAGGACTGTCTCCACCACCTGGTGGAGTGTTAGGCTGGCTGCTTCCCGTTGCTTAAGACGCTGTAGGAGGGGACTTTCCTGGCGGTCCAGTGGGTAAGACTCCTCACTTCCAACACAGGGGGTAGGGGCTCGATCCCTGGTCGGAACGGACATGCCACGCGGTGCAGCCAAAAAAAAAAAAAAAAAATTGACACTATAGGAAACTTCGTTTTCAACAGAAGTTGCCACTTTTTTTTTGTCCCTTATTTGTTTATAAACATTGGTCCTGGGCGGCCCTGCTCAGTCAGGAGTTTCTGTGCTGACTTTTCCCAAAACTAATCCCCTATTTGAGGCTATTGGTGACTTGTTACCTTTTGTTAAGGATCATTTATAATTTCTATGACATGTAAATGTTAAAAATAGACAGCACTAAGAGGTATTTTTGACTTGATGTAAAAAGGCTTTTAAAAAATGTGTAGTTGTATACTTTAAGGATTTGTTTCTAAGCTATAAATGGAGTAAGTTTCCAATCATTACCAGCTACTTAGTGGCTGTTAGATATGGTAAAGGAAATTTCATTTAAGAGAAGGGGCTATTTTAATGATCTGTTTTCTTTTGTGGAATTTTAGATTTAGCCACTGCGTATTTTTCTGTCGTTGTTAGTGATGTCATTAACCTACTCACTAAAACTAGGTGGTTTTGGCTAAACAGATTCTTAATCCTGTTCGCTGTTCGTTCATCTTTGCTATGTTCTCCTATTGAAATTAGTAGTGTATTTATAATCACACGGTGATAGCATTACCACTTATTCCTGATTTTGACTATTAATGCCCTTTCCTTTTATTTTTACTCATCAAACTTTGTGGTTACAAAATAGCCACAGTGCAGGACTGCTAAAGTGGGAAAGTTGTTCAAGTCGGTTGGAAAAAAAGGTCTGACATGTTCAGGCTCAGAACGGTTCTTAGCAGAGAAAACAGCCTAATCAAAACAGAAATTGTTTGTGCTGGCTGTTTCAAGGGATTCTTGTAGTTGACGTGAAGCAGAGCTCACAAAAGAAGTGTCATCGGCCAGTTCTTTTCAATAAAATGTAGCTGGCACTGCAGCAAGTCTTAACAAGTTGCAGCTCCCTTAAGTAAAATTTTAAAAAAAAAAGAAGGAACTAGAAACAAAAGTAAAACAGAGTAGTAGTCATGGCAGAATATGAATTTGATTTGTAAATTGCTATCACAGAGTAACATGGTGAGGCCCTAATTTTATGCTAATATCAGGAAGAAAGGGTTTTGTCTGCGCTGTGCCTTTTTAAAATCAGAACGTAGCATATAGGTCCAGGCTGGTTTCCAGGTTTGTAGAATATCGCGTTAGGCTCTGCTCTTACCTTGTGGTTGAGTCATGAAGGATTCTGCTTGGTCTCTATTTGAGGATGTTGGTCGTGTACAGACATGCTTCCTGTTTCAAGGCTGTCTGAGAGTCAGTTGACTCGGAAAAGCAAAGCTTTTCCAGAACTGCAAGTGAAATTGGCTTAACCACCGTTTGCTGTGACCTTTGAAATCAGGGCAGGTGCAAGAGATTAAGAACCAAGATGCAGTAGCCTATTCTCCAGCTGTGACATTTTATATTCCTGCCACTTTTCTTTGTTGTACAGACCCTGGTCCCACCCAGGGTTGTAAACATGTCTTTTGGTTGCACTGATGTCTGCAGTGTGTTACTAATTATAAAAGTCAGCCACATGCCTTGGGCTTCACCTCAAGAACGTCATGTGACTTTGAAGAGCTGCATCACTGCCCCACCCCCCAGCCCCGCCCTGCCCCGGTAGAGACCCGGCAGCATCGGGACCCTGGATCCATGAAGCAGTCACGATATAGTTCCTGTAGAGATTATGTTTCCAGTTCCCAAATTTAGCTGGCATCCCTTTGGTTTATTTTTTCTTAACTGTGAAAATAGTGTAAAAAATATTGTTTTGAAATCTTGAAGTTTTCTATAAGTGAGAAGTATATAAGGTAACAAACATCCACAGATGAAAATTTGGTTTAAAAAATTATCTGAAGCTTTAAGGGCTGAACTGGAAATGGGTGATGATTCATGATGGTTTACTTGTTACCGTTAAAGTAAATAAAAATTGAAATTAAGTTGTATGAGTAAATTTTTAAAAAATAATTCCTCTTCCACACTATTGACAATATAATAAAGTCACTTTTGTGAATGCTAAAAAATTTAATACAATAATTTCTAAATTCAGACTAAGGCTGTTTGAAATCAAGACTGAGTTTCCAGTGTAACATGTAAGAATTTTCCCCGAGATAGCATGCTTATAACACCATTCATTTGTTCATGTAATGATTAGTTGTAATTTTTAAATGGTTTTTATGCTACATCTCTAGTAGTCATAAACTCTATTATGAATAGCAATGCTGCATCTCAAGTTCAGGGTAAAACCGAACATACCTTGGCTCTTCAGTTGTGCCGGGAAGCACAGAGTGATGGTCGTTACACATACTGGCAAACTTCTGCTCTCTCCTTTTAGGATTTAGTGTGATCAGTTTTTTTTGGTTTTTCTGATAATGGCATAAAAACGTACACGTAGTGTTATTTTTCTGACGAATTGCACTGTTTTTGCTTCATCTTCGTCTGTTTTATTTACAGGTGTTGACTTTAAAATCAAAACCGTAGAGCTAAGAGGAAAGAAAATTAGGTTACAAATCTGGTAAGTGGGCATCTACACCCCGTCCTGCCACGTGTGTTTACCAGTCCACATGCTTGTCTAATACAATTAACCATTCAAGCTGGTCTGTCGCTCCTATGTCTCCGCTCCTTTGCTCACATTCAAGTGGAATGAACGGACCTTCCTTCAGGGGAGAGTTCACTTGTCAAGGGAGAGTTCAGGAAAGAGTCCACTTGTCTCAGATCCCATTTGCACATAGGAGTTGTGGGGAGAAGAATGTGACTTTTATGGCAACTAGTTTGGAGCCTTTAGCCTCTAGTTTCACATCATTTGACAAAACCGTCGTCACTAAAACGATGGCTCCGCTGCTCGTCTGCATGTTTTTAACATTGCTTTGCGAGCATTCAGAGAAAGGCCAGTGTGTTCCTCCCCGGAGTTGCGCTGTATCCTGGCAAGTCCCCCACAGGCTGTGTCCCTGGTGGCACCACGTGGTGGCCACCGTGGGACACGCATGCCCTTCCAGCTCCATTGCCGGAGCCACGTGTCCTGAGGCCCTCCGTGCCCCATGGAGGGGAGCCCAGAGAGACTGGGCTCCCTGCACGTCAGGAGCGTGTGAGAGACTAAACCAGCCATGTGTGGGCCGCTCAGCACTCGGCCACCGCAGGGACCCCCGGAGCCCCTCTGGAGGAGGGCCCGGGGGCGGCGGCAGTGGGAGCGGCCCTGCCGGGGGTGTCCCAAGTCTCCCTTGCTGTTAACACGGTCGCGCGGCAGCATCTCAGCCACTAACTCCTCCCGCAGGTAGACCTCAGCTCTGAGTGTTTGTCCGCCGTGTGTGTGTTGCTTTCATCCGCGTTCATTGCTGCCACGTCGGTGGCTCCATCGTCACCTAACGCTTGCGTGTTAGTGCCATGCCTCATCCTCACCCGTGTCCCTGTCTGGGGCGCCACTGCCCCCGAACCAGCGGAGGAGCTCGCCAGCCGTCAGGTAATGTCTGCATTGGTGACTGCTGACTGTTTAACCCACTTGAAGGATTGGGGTGGGGAAGTGTTGCTTTTCTGTTTCGTGTTTTTGTTTTTCGTATTTTTGTTTGGGGCTTGACTATGAGACGTTTATGGTCTTGATTGCTTAAATACTCGGTAATAGAAAATGGGTATTTCTTACTCTGTTAGCCCATGATTGAAGAAGGCATCAGGCTGTGTGTGTGCATTGCTGCCCAGGTTTTGAATTCTGGAAATAGCAGCAGAGTACCTTTCACGTGAGCCGCTGTTTCTAACTGTACACTCTTTAAGGTAAAGACAGTCTTTAGGGACTTTCCCTGGCGGTCCAGTGGTTAAGACTCTCCGCTTCTACTGCAGGGGGCACAGGTTCAGTCCCTGGTCAGGGAGCTAGGACCCCACAGGCCACATGGCGTGGCCAAATTAAAAAAAAAAAGACGGTCTTTAAAAGGATTCTCGGAGGCTTCCCTGGTGGCGCAGTGGTTGAGAATCTGCCTGCCAACGCAGGGGACACGGGTTCGATCCCTGGTCCAGGAGGATCCCACATGGCATGGAGCAACTAAGCCCGTGTGCCACAACTATGGAGCCTGCGCTCTAGAGCCAGTGAGCCACAACTACTGAGCCCACGCACCATAACTACTGAAGCCCACGTGCCTAGAGCCGGTGCTCCGCAGCAAGAGAAGCCCGCGCACCGCAACCAAGAGCAGCCCCTGCTTGCCGCAACTAGAGAAAGCCCGCACGCAGCAATGAAGACCCAACACAGCCAAAAATAAATAAAAATAAAAATAAATAAATTTATTTTTTTAAAAAAAAAGGATTCTAGGGGTGTGTCCACCTCTGTACCTGGCACCTGTGAAGGTTGCCTCACAAAGGAGACACAGGTGTTGTGAGAACGTTAGTGACGCACAGTGGGTGACAGCAGTGTCCCAGTGATGACACTGTCACCTGTCCAAAGAGGCACGTCCTAGGTGGTGTGTTAATACTTGGGTTCCGTCTCAGGCAGGAGTAATCTGATTTACAGAGGCATTTACGTCCAGGTGTCCTGTGCCCTGGAACTCTGCTCACTACAGGCCTTCTGTGCCGGTGACATTGGATCCTTCTGGAATCCAGCTGCCTTCCTTTGAATCTGAACTAAGAGGGCCCAACCTTGTGAATCCCGCTCTGGGGAGTAGAGTGTGAGCGTGCAGCTATGGGAGATGCACGCACGCCCCGACACCACGGCTCTCTGGGATGTGAAAGCCGCCTCCAGGTCACTCCTCTGCTGCTCCTCACCCTTCGCACTTCATTCCCGGAATTTTTAAAACTGCACAATGTTGGTGGAAAATATAACTGAGGGAGGGGCCGTCAGATTCATTGAATTTTTTTTTTTGCGGTACGCGGGCCTCTCACTGTTGCGGCCTCTCCCGTTGCAGAGCACAGGCTCCGGATGCGCAGGCTCAGCGGCCACGGCTCACGGGCCCAGCCGCTCCGCAGCATGTGGGATCTTCCCGGACCGGGACACAAACCCATGTCCCCTGCATCGGCAGGCGGACTCTCAACCGCTGCGCCACCAGGGAAGCCCGTCATTGAATTTTTTGAGAGGTTGATTGCCAGTTTTCTACAGGGAGTGTCCCAGGGATTCAGTGAGGAAGTAGAGTTTGTCTTTTCCAGAGGGGTTTTCACCAGTGAATAATGTACCTACTGACGCCAGCTACCTGCTAGTCCCTTAATACTTGAAATAGGATTCTTATCTGAAATAGGATTTTTATCTTCTGGAGTATATTATTTAAGGAAGGAAAAACCTTCTTTCCATCACTGTGATCCCGTAGGTAGGAAGGAAGCACTGGAGTCGCGGCCCAGCCGGTAAAGGGACGCGGGGCTTCTTTCCTCCCTGGGAGCCGTCCTCAAGCTGTGGCTGTTGTGACCTGCCGTGTCCCGGGTGTGCTGCCATCACTTTACTCTGTCCCGGTCGAGGGCGTAGGGGGAGCCGATGTGTTGGAAAGAGCTCTTCGGAGACCCTGTGTTCTGACCTAGACTCAATCCATGGAAGCTTCACTCTGGCCGGTTTTCACAAGGAGGTTGTGTTAGTAGACATGCATTTTTTCTTGATGATTTCTGGATATAGCCAATCTAAGAAAGTATTATTTACTACAGCTTCCTAAAGGTTTAAGGTACCAAAAGCTGCAGATGTCATTGTCGTATTTTTAGGTCACACTTTATGTCATGGCCACATTTTTTAAGTCCCTTGATTATCTGTGGTTAGGAAAAGGACCATTTTCCCATCTCTGCTTGAAGCGTTTCCAAGTGTGTGTATATAGAACTTGGTGTAAGTATAGCTAAAATAAGATGTCGACCAGAATGTAGTTTCATGAATTTATATCCACATGCTGTCTGGAAATTACTCACAGGGACTTAGGTCTGTTGTGTTGAGATGGACTTGAAGCTGAGAACTTAGCCTCCCACCTTTAGGCAAACACAGAATTATGATGCTTCCTATGAAGGCCTCTTGTTCTGTCCAGTGCTCACTGGCAGGGAATTTGGTCTTCACCAGCGTTCTTACATTGATATCAAGTTTGTTTCCTTTCATTCTCTGCTTGAAGAGGTAGAACGCTTCATACACTGACTTTGGTTCCTACAAATTAAGAATTGTGTCATTTAAACTGATATATTAAATTTTTTAAATGACAGTCTTTGAATTTTCAAAACATGGTTGTATTACCCAACTGTGGAAACAGGATAGCAGGAAGTTTTCAATTTGCACCAAAAGCAGAGAGAGATAATAATGAGATCGCAGGCCACCGGTAATAAATGATGATTTGGCTGACAGTAATAAGCTGTAAATCTGTAAGAATCAGCTCTCGGTCATTACAGTGAAAATTCAGGTTCATTGAGATAAAGATGGGAAATACTAGGATTCTGCATCTTCATAGGTAGATAAACCATGATCCGGGCATTGGTATCGTGTTATCATCTAGCTGTGTGAAAAGTGGAGACTAGTGTGGAATTTTTGTGGTACTGGCTCAGCGTAGGTATTTAATATACACTTAACTTTTGCAACCCAGACATTTTGGAAATGTGGAATAAGAATCTCAAGGGAAGCCACTTTTCTGCCTCAAGCAGTGAGAACCAGGCACAAAGAGACGGAGTCAAAGGAATGGCCTTAATGTCTCCTCTCTAGGGTCTTGTGAGCCGGCCTTATTTGGACTTATTTGTGTTACAGGTCGCCTCAGAGTTTGCCTCTCGAGGTCTCCACCCTCTTTCTGTGTGTCTGACTTAAAGCGGAGAGAGTCAGCTAACTTCACAATGTTTCTAAGGTCCCTAAGTGTGCTACTCATGTAGCGGGTTTTTTGAAACTGTATCAAAAATGCCCGTTACTATCTTGATTCCTTGATTGTTGGGTTTTTATTAGAACTTCTAGGGATCTGCTGTCCCATGTTGTGCCTGTAGGTAACAGTGCTGTATTGTACACTCAAAAAAGTCTGCCTCCAGAGGGCAGATCTCATGTTAAGTGTTCTTACCACAATACAATCAAAATAATTTTTCAAAAACTTGTATTATTTCTAATTGCTCTGTTCTTGAGCCCCCAATTTCTGATCCTGATTCAGTGAATATGTATAGAAACGAATGTGAAATTGATTTAAGCTAAAAGTCAGCTTAAAACTACTTAACATAAAGATTCACGAAAGTCCGTAATTCCCAAAATGCTCAGTGAAGACCTTGTATCTGATTGCTGTTTGAATTTGCGGTGCAGCTATTATGTGCTAACCACAGATTTCAGAATAGAAAAATGTGTGTTACTTTTGCTTTTTTTTTTTTTTGCAATACGCGGGCCTCTGACTGTTGTGGCCTCTCCCGCTGCGGAGCACAGGCTCCGGACGCACAGGCTCAGCGGCCGTGGCTCACGGGCCCAGCCGCTCCGCGGCATGGGGGATCTTCCCGGACCGGGGCACGAACCCGCGTCCCCTGCATCGGCAGGCGGACCCTCAACCACTGCGCCACCAGGGAAGCCCTGTTTTTGCTTTTTAAAGAAATGAGTGAGAAATGTTTTATCAAATCCCAACTTGAACAAGCCAGCACTTGTGATAGGAAGAGAAACCACAGTCTGAAAGATTTCACTCTTTTTTGGTTTGAAAGTATTAATTATGCCCCTAAATGTCTAGGATCCTGGAAATAAAATTGTTCAATGATTCCTTATACAAATGAATGGTATCTAAATCGATTCCTTCTCACCTGATTTAAAGGTGCATTTTTGTGTCTCTAAGCTGGTTTTAGGAATCTTGAAGAATTCAGTCCCCATCATTTTCAGTGTTCCAATTTTGGGGCAGTTCTGGGTCAAAAAATAAAGTTCAGGGGACTTCCCTGGCGGTCCAGTGGTTAAGACCTCGCCTTCCAGTGCAGGGGGTGAGGGTTCAATCCCTGGTGGAGGAGCTAAGACCCCACATGCCTCGCAGCCAAAAAACCAAAACAAAAAACAGAAGCAATATTGTAACCAATTAATAAAGACTTTAAAAATGGTCCACATCAGGGGCTTCCCTGGTGGCGCAGTGGTTGAGAGTCCGCCTGCCGATGCAGGGGACACGTTCGTGCCCCGGTCCGGGAAGATCCCACATGCCGCAGAGCGGCTGGGCCCGTGAGCCGTGGCCGCTGAGCCTGCGCGTCCGGAGCCTGTGTTCCGCAGCGGGAGAGGCCACAACAGTGAGAGGCCCACGTACCGCAAAAAAAAAAAAAAAAAGGTCCACATCAAAAAAAAAATCTTAAAAAAAAATAAAATAAAGTTTGTCTTGCCTTGAAGTGACATCCACTTTCTGCATTTTACCCATGTAACCTTTCGTTCAACACCTGTGGATCGAGGGCCCACAGTGGTCCAGGCACCCACTGGACGCTGGTGGACAAAACAGACCGACCTCAGGTCCTGGGCCTTCCAGCCAAGGGCACAGGGCAGTCTTACAGCCTCTGGAGCAAAGCAAGTAGCCTTGTTTTACGTGAAAATGAATTTGCCAGCGAGCTTCGTTGTTTGTTTGGGCATAATGACATATCCCTAAGCGGAGCTAATTTGGTGGCAAGTCTAGTCTGATCAAAGCTGTAAGTTACAGCACCTTTGCCGTGTGTGTTTTAGGGAGACAGCCCCACAAGTTTCACCCCATCCGATGCGTTGGGAAGAGGTGTCACACCATCTCCCCATTTCAGAAGCTCACATGCTGTCCTATGAGAGGCTGTGGGCGCCTTGCAGGGGAGAACCCCGTTTTCTGTGTACCGCACCGCCCCTTCGCTTCCTCCGCCACGAGCCACCCGTGTCACGTGGCCCTGGGAGTATACCGTGAGTTAGGGCTCTTCAGGAAAAACTAAGTTGTAGGTGGTCTTTAAAGACAGTCTGTAGATTGTCTTTAATTATAGATTGTCTACAACTATAGATTGTAACTAAAGATTGTTTTCCTGATCAGAAGGCCTGCTCTTTTGAGCCTCGTTTGTAAATTTGTGATGATTCTCAAGCAGTTTCTTGGCTTCTTAGGTTTAGAAAATGGGTTTCAGCCAGCTTCTGTGCACTATTAGCGTGCGTATATCTTCGTGTGGAAACGGACAACTTTTCCTGGAGAGGAAGTAAAGCTTTAGATTTCAGGGTGGCAGTCGGAGAGTGGCGAGCTTGGTGGTTTGCAAAGCTATTTGGTACCTCTTCTCCCTTTGCCTTTGACCGCTACTCTAGAGGGATTAAGAAGATAACAAGACCAATTCTGTAGCGTTTTTCATTCGTGGGGACTCCATCAGCAAAATCAGATATTCACCATCGAGTTCAGTTAAAAGAGTTCTAGGCTTAAATCTTTTCAGTTATCATCCATGCATCCTGTCATTGTTGATAACCACCTAGTTTACGGTGTGTTATACTTTCCACCATTTTACACGGCATTTGCTTCTCTTCAGAATCTTGGTTTGAAAGAAATTGGGGGTTCCTTGTGATTTTGTTTGGATGTACTTAGCTCAGAAAAGCCACCCCCACTAAGAGTGAATATGCACAGATGTGTGAGGAGTTACTCACAATTGGGCTGAGGCTCTCCCTGTTGTTGTTCAGAACTAATTTTTGCTGCTGTTTCTTAGGGACACAGCAGGTCAGGAGAGATTCAACAGCATTACCTCAGCTTATTACAGAAGTGCCAAGGGGATCATATTAGTATATGATATCACAAAGAAGGAGACATTTGATGATTTGCCAAAATGGATGAAGATGATTGATAAGGTACGTGTTGCATCTCTCTCTCAGATGTGAACTCTTTGCTTGTAGGTGTTAATCATTACAAAAGGAAGAAGGGAAACATTTATGGAGCATGTTTTTCCATCCTGAATGTCATTTAATCCAGATGACAGCGTTCAGAGTAGGTATATAGCCCTGCATCATAGATGAGGCAGAGAAGAACTAACATGTCTCCAGGATCCCCTTATAAATAATAGAGCCAGGATTTTTATTCTGGTACCTGGGCTGTGTGACTTCAAAGCCCAGACATGCTCATTGCACACTGTCCAGCTGCATCCGTGGAATCAGATTCAGAACTCCTTGTTTCTGCAGAAAGTTCACTTGGACGCGCACTTTGTGAGTGTCCACAGAGTGACAGCCTCCCAGGGACAGCCGTCTCCACTGTGCCCGTGGGAGATGCCAAGGGCCTTGGTCACCACGGGACCTCTGCCCTCAAATGAGAGATGGCCTTCACCTCCTCACTTTGAACTAAAGAAGAGTTTATCCTTTGGGCCACACTTGACTATATAGAGACAACCCAAGTCTGTATGAATAATGTAATCTGTGGGTTCCCCTCTGAGAAACGGGGACCCAAAATACACATGTAGACGACACAGCCGCTGAGGGTGAGATGTGGTGGTCAACAGTGGCCACATTTTGAGAGTTTTTTCCCCCTTATTCAGTAATTTGATGTTTAGTTCCTTTGTATAACAAGCACACTTAGTATATTATAAAGTGGGTTTTGTTTACATATTGTATTAAACCCATCTGTTAGATGATGTTGGAGAATGTTCCTTTGTGTAACAAGCACACTTAGTATATTATAAATTGGATTTTGTTTACAAATTGTATTAAACCCATCTGTTAGATGATGTTGGAGAATGTTCCTTTGCAGGTCTTACTAAGCACATTTTCAATGCGTGCCTCTTTAGAGTGTGTTAGGGACCAGCGTTGCCAGGGTTACGGAGATGTCGGGACCCAGGGCGGGTCTGGGCTCTGGGATGGCGAGTCTCCGGATGTGATGTCCTCCCCTGCTGAAGCCGTGGAGTGTGCTCCTAAGGACCTCAGACAGGGGCGCCCTCGCTGCCAGCTGACAGCACGGAACCGAGGGATGGAGTTAAAACCGAAGGCAGTGGCCTCCACGTGAGGGGCTGCTGTTTTTTTAAAACTTAGAGATGGAGCTTAACTTTTCCTCATTCTAAAATTAATGATACCTTGCCATTATAGAAAATTTAGAAAACCAAGAAAAGCACAAACGTAAATTTTAAAAATCTTTAGTTCTGTCATTCAGAAGAACTAGATTGGGTCCCTGCTCCATTTAGTTTTACACCTGCTTATTTAACTAACTATTGTCACAGGGGCCTTCCTGTGTCAGCTTAACGTTTTTCCAAAGCTTTTGTTTTGTTTTGTTTATGGCTTCATTCTTTTGTGTACTTTATTTCATTCTTCACCTGCTTTGTGGGAGCTCTAGGTTTTTTTCAACTAAGTGTAAAACTTTGCCTATATTTTGAGTCATTTCCCTAGGATAGATTCTTAGGAATCATGGGCCAAGGGTTGAGAACATTTGTGCTTCGTCAGGCCTGTGACCACATTGCTGTGAGCCCGGCAGGAACCCTGCCCGGGACAGAGTAGATGCTCAGAGATCGTGAAGCAAGTGGTTGGAAGGGTGAGACGTGTTGCCTTGGTTGATGTTTCCCGTCGTTTGTGATGTGCCTGTCTTTGAAATGCAGCTTCTTTTACAATCCCACAGTACGCTTCAGAAGACGCAGAGCTTCTTTTAGTTGGAAATAAGTTGGACTGTGAAACTGACAGAGAAATCAGCAGACAGCAAGGTGAAAAGGTGAGGAAAGGGGGGCAGAGAGGGGGTCTCAGCACCCACGCCCTGTACAGTGAGCACTCCGTGTGCTTTCCCTTTTAATAAATGACTTTATAATTATTTCATAATTTTAAAAAAGTAATCACTCAGTTGCATCCTTCTTATTCATTTGCTCTTGTTAACTTCCTGCTCCTTTAAATTCATTTTGAAATGGAGGGGAGAAAAACACATTAGTGTATCCTGCATTATTTAGTATCTCACCTGACATCTTATACAGAGAAATATTCTTTTAAACCATATAATCGCTTTCGTGGTTTTTCTCTCACTCTGACCTTCTGTGGAGAAACTGTGATATTCATGTTTTAAATGTCAGATACACTACAGTTTAGAAACTTGGGCACGTAGTTTGACTTGGCGTCACCTTACAGATTTTGTTTTGTTGTTTTCTTATCATGTAGGAAATTGGATACACTTGTGAACTTTACATTTGAGGGTAAACAGGACTTTCCAGGCCTTTCGTCCCAGCCCTTCCCTGAAAGCCGAAGCCCCAGAGCTGTCCGTCCCCCATCACAGGCCCCGTGCTTGTACATTAGATTGTGTTGTATCCCCTCAGAGAAAAATAATTTGTTTTCTTAGTTTGCACAGCAGATAACTGGGATGCGGTTCTGTGAAGCAAGTGCCAAGGATAACTTCAACGTGGATGAAATATTCCTGAAGCTTGTTGATGACATCCTGAAAAAGGTAAAAAGAGAGAATCGTACATCGTGAAAGCGTTTCATCTGAAACCTGTTCATTGTTTCCTTTGCTATTTTTTGGTTGGGAAACTTTTACGTAGAAAGGGAAGCACGGGGGTCATCGTCAGGCTGAAGACCAAGGGGGCGAGGACCCGGCCCAAGGAGCCAGCTCGCTGCCGTGACAGCCTCTCCCCACGTCCCTAGTGCCACGTTCCTGTCCTCGCTCAGCCTCACACGTGGTCTGGGGAGCGGGTGTGACCGCGGGCCGTGTTATTTGACTTTTGCTCCTCTCTCGGAGTTTTCCTGCAAAGGACTAAGTTAGATACAGACAGTGGAGGTCTTGCCCCGCCTTGGGGCCCTGCTGTCCGGGCGGGGCCTGAGGCCGTCCCGGGGCCTTTTGTGGCGCCAGGTGGCAGGAAGATGGCTTCACTGGACAGCAGCACTTTGTTCAGGCATCTTTGGGCTTGCATCCAGAGATTTCTTAGTGAGATCTTTAAGTGTATTTGTATTACTGTTACACATAATCGACTCTGTCCAAACGTAATTCGGAAGCTTCTAATACAATGGCTGTCTGTACAATTACCAGGAGAAGGTGCTTCTTTCTTTAGTAACGGTATAACCCCCGAGAACACAGAACTGTTTTTTCCTTTTCTGGCACGTTAAGTTTCCATTATACTGGACTGTGAAAATAAATGTTTACGAGGTCCATCGGCTCTCTTCTGCCGTAGGGTGTGAAATAGGCTACACAGCGTTTGTACGATGGTTGAAGCTCCCTGAACCTGGTTCTTAGGTTTTGGCTTAATGTTTTCATGCCTGATTAAATTCTGATGATTGAAGAGTTTTCTATACAAAATACTTTGGTCTTCTGTAATGGTACGACTTGTAGTCTTTACATATACATTGTTGGGTTAAAATGTACTTGTCTTTTGCTTTATCCTCAGATGCCTCTGGACATGCTGAGGAACGAGCTGTCCAATAGCATCCTCTCCTTACAACCAGAGCCTGAGATCCCACCAGAACTGCCTCCACCCAGACCACACGTCCGATGCTGTTGATTCGCTACTTTGGAGACAAAGTGGGAGCGATTCCTGGAGAGGGGAAAGTTTCCATTCTGCACTACAATCGTTTTGACCATTTCCTTTCGCACTTTGTAATCCAAGTCAGAGCTATACACTAACTTGTAAATACGCAGATATGCAATCCTGGGTAAGTTTTGGTTATAAATGACATATTTCCCTCCAAATTGTTATATTTCATGCATTATCCCGGTGCCTAGTGTATGTACACTGGGAAACGTAGTACTTCTAATACGAAGAACAGGAGAAATGAGAGCTATAATGTTTCTTGAAATAAATAATTGTCCTTGCTAATTATATTATGAGGACAGAGATATTCTGATAAGAAGAAAGAACGTGGTGCTTTGCTTACTGTTTTAAAGAAAATTTGCAAAACTAAAGACTTTTGGGGGAGGGGGGAAGCGATCTTGAATGCTTTTTCTTTATTTACATTTCTCCCAGCCTTAGCATCTTTGAAGTGTTGGAGTGTTTCCCACAAAGCAAGCCCATTCATAGCCGTCTTGAAGGTTATTTATTCACATTACGTATTACTGATAGAATATGACTAGTTAGAAGGTAGGACTTGAATTGGTCCCGAGGCCCGAATCTCTCTGGTTTCCTGATGGACATACCCTGTGCTTTTAAGAACTACAAAGATTCAATAAAGAAATGTTTTTGAAACTATAGAAGATTTAAAAAGAACACTGCTGTCCTAAACAAATCTTGTTTAAAGGAGTTTTAAAGAGATACATTTTACTATATCAAAGAACGTACATGTATTTGCCTAAACATTCTATATACCTTTGTAATGATAAAACTTCTCCCCTTGATGGTGAAGCTTATTCCTATTAAGCCTAGACTGTGTTCTTTTTTTTTTTTTCCCCCCCTGGTCTGATAATGAATTTGTGAACTCTGTCTTTGGTATATCTTTTCTTAAACTGCACTGTTTGTTTAGTCAAGGTAAATAAGTCATTATGTATTTGAATAACTTGGCGTGTCTTGAGTGTTGTGATATGAGAAGCATTGTGGTCTTTCTACACTAATGAAATGCAAATAAAATTTTGTATTTATGAATGACAGTTGAGTTGCCACACTTATTTGTGCAGTTACAAATGACGTATTTGACAATATTCTTCCAAAACTCCACATCTTAATCTTTTGAGTGTCTTCGATAAGAAAAATGCAGCCTCGTCCTCCATGGAAAACATTTTGATAGTTTCTCAAGAGTTTTAAGCATAGAACTGTAATACCACCCAGCAATTCCACTCCTGGGTCTGCATCCCAAAACATCAAAAGCTGGGGCACAAACAGATGCTATACACTAATGTTCACAACTTTATTCGCAGTAGCCAAAAAGTGGAAGCAACCCAAGTGTCCATCAGCAGGGGATGGATTCTGACACAGGCTGCAGCATGGATGGACCTTGAGGACGTCATGCTGAGTGAAATGAGCCAGTCACACGAGGGGCCTAGACTAGTCCAATCCATAGACACAGCCCTGGTGGGTGCCAGGGGCTGGGGGGAGAGAGGAATGAGGAGTTACTGTTTAGTGGACACGGAGTCTGAGTGCAGGATGATAAAACTTTCTGGAGGTGGATGGTGGTGATAGTTGCACGACGATGTGCGTGTACTTCATGCCACAGGGCTGCACACTTTAAATGGTTAAATATATGTCTGTTTACAGATAGTGTCCTCAAGAGAACGTTCTGTTTAATGTCTCTGCCTTCTACCGTCCAACAACCAGTCATGGATCGTGCCGACCATTTACCTGTTGTCTCACCTCCACGACGGCCCTCCTGTGCTCTGCCCTGTGATACCAGGGCCTCAGCTCTGAAGGACACCTGCCGACACCCCTGCTCTTCCCGTTAGACCTGCTGCTGGGAGGAACTCGGGGGGATGGGAGGAGAGGGGAAGGGACTTGCCATTTCCCCCCCCCCCACCTCTTTTCCCCTGCAGAGACAGCTGACCTTCAGCTCCAGCTCCCGGCGGACCCTCAGCTGAGCCTGGCTGCACCCACCAGAGAGGCCAGGGCAGTGGCACCGCTGCACTGCTCCTTGCAAAGTCTTCCTTTTTCTACCTCCTGGATCCTTGAGGTGCTGTTTCAGGTTGGTAGGTGGTTTTATTTAATGCCTTAATTAAAGTTTTGACTATTAAAACTGAGGGGTGGGACTTGCCTGGTGGTCCAGTGGTTAGGACTGCACGCGTGCACCGCAGGGGATTCAATCCCTGGTTGGGGAACTAAGATCCCTCATGCCACTGAGTGCAACCAAAAAAAAAAAACTGAGGGATGAGTATTAGTTGAGGACGCAACGAAACAAGAGATTCGTCTTGCTTGTCTCAAACTGTAAAACTACCTAAACTTAGTTGGTGGGTATTTTCCCCCCACAAATGACTTGCGTTACCAGGGAGAGAGAAAGTACTTATCTTACAGATTATTTATTGCCTAGAAGTTGTAAGTAGGCCACAGACTGCAGCTAAGGGTGGGTCAGGACATGATATACGGGCTAGTATTTATGCTACAATACCGTGGTGAACAAAGGTGAAGTTTATCGCATGGCTGCTGTTAAGCCAGGCCCTGTGCTTGGAGCTGTAGGGACATGACAGAGACCATAGACAGACCCTGCCCATAAGGATAAGTTCATCAGGTGCAACAGATGGACCCCTAACAGGAGTGAGTGCAGGGCAGAGCTTCCATCATGAAAGGACGGGTGCAGAGTCTGGGAAGCGGAGGAGGAGAAGCACGGCCGGTGCGGGGAGAAGGGGTGGAGGGAGGTCGGGGTGCTCTTCCTGGGCCTTCAGGAATGAGTGGGCTACTGACCGGTGGCTAGAGGGATGGTGTATTCACAAGCTGTTGATTTGAAACCAAAGGGACCCTCTGGAAAAAGCAGACCTCATAGTAAAACATGCACTGCTATCCCCATGGCTTATAGCTTCCTGAACACTTGGCCGCTCCTTGGAAATGTTCGATTAAGCCTGTTCTCATGGTAGAGACAAGACAGTGACCGGAAATGCACTCAAGCCGTTTGCATGCAAAACCTGGAGCACGTCTCATCCCCATAAATGGACAGTTATTACTGAAAATGGTTCTGGAGATCTGCCTCTGTGAGCTGATGAGTTTGGTCCATTTGCCAACAGGTCCGCTCTTCCATAGGCTTAAACCATAACCCTTTTTGACAATGTGAGAACAGGATAAACCAGCCCCAATCCACCCACTATTGACAGACAGCTCACCGCGCACACGCCCAGTGGGTGGAAGTTCCCAGGTGCCCTCCTAGCAGAGACAGCAGGGCCCCAGGGTAGTGAGGACTTAATCACCCCTGTTGACTGATGCAGGGCTGGGGGTTTAAGGCTGTTGGGCAAGATCAACAGTAGAATCCCTACATTGTACTGGGTTTCTTTCTTTAAAAAATTGCAGACCTTTCCAAAGACAGCTCGGCAAATGCTTGCGATTAAAATGCATTTTATTGGAAGAGTGCGTTTTCTAAAAGACAAGGGTGCTGCCGGGGCTAAAGCTCTCTGGAAGAGACTGGCCTCAGGGTGTGTCTCAGATCCATCAGGCCTACGGGGGTCATCATCTTTACCTGTAGGGTCAGCTGCTTAAACCCGTGGTTAGCTCAGGGGCCCCTCAGCCCATTAAAGATGTACCTCAACTTGTTGAAATGCCCTTTAACTCTGGAAACAGCTTTTCAGTCCATAATTCGAACCAAAAGATTTTAGTATAAGTAACTTGTTAGTTTGAATCCCCATCAAAGAGTAATCTGGTGTTGCCGAGTACCAATAACTGGATGTTGAATTGAGCAGGAGAGTGTTAGGTACCTGAAGGGGAATCATGAAAATAGGTAAGAAAATGGTTTAGAAAGAGAATGAGGCCAAAAACAACTGGGCCAACTTTCATTTGGCTCTCTCCTCAGCCAGTCTGGACAGACTACAGACGTTCACCCCACCACTGTCTCCCCCAGGCCCTGCCGCTCTTCACTCTTGGATGGTTGCCACCTACTGTGGCCTGTCATGGGACCATTGAAAATGTGTTCAATGCAAGCAGAAGGAAGGAAATAATAAAGATGAAGCATCAATAGATGAAATTAAGAACATAAAAATAATAGTCAATAAACCAAGAACTGTATCCACAGAACAATTAAAAAAAGACTTCATTTTTAAATGGGTAAAAATTAGTCATTAGGGAAATGCACCTCAAAACCACAAATGAGATGACTTCACACCAGTGAGGATGGCTATTATCAAAAGAACAAAATAAGTGTTGGCAGGGACGTGGAAAATTTGCAACCTTTATGCAAGGTGGGAACGTAAAATGGTACAGCCACTGTGGAAAATGGTGCACAGTCCCTCAAAACATTAAACATAGAATTTACCTTATGATGCAGCAATTCCGCTTCCGGGTATCTGCCCCAAAGAAGTGAGAGCAGAGGTTCAAAAAGATATCTGTACGTCCATGTTCGTAGCAACATTATTCAAAATAACCGAAAGATGGAAGGAAGGAACGCATGTGCCTATTGACGGATGAATAAAGAATGTGTTCTGTGATATATACTTACAATGGAGTATTATTCAGCCTTAAAAAGGAAGGAAATTCTGACACCACGTGCTACAGAATGGACGAACCTTGGGGACATTGTGGTGAGATAAGTCAGTCACAAAAGGATATACTGAGTGATTCCACTTGTATGCGGGACCTAGAGCAGTCAAACTCACAGGGACATAAAGTAGAATGATGACGGCCAGAGGCTGGGGCAGGGGATAGGGAGTTAGTGTTTAACGGGTGCAGAGTTTCCATTTGGGAAGATGAAAAATTCTGGAAATGGATGGTGGTGATGGCTACACAGTAACGTGAAATGGATTTGATGCCCCTGAGCTGTACATTTACAAATGGTTGAACTGGTAACTTTTATGTTACGTATATTTACCACAATGAAAAAAAAATTAAATGGTGGGGGGAAAGGTATCTTTTAAACGATCAACAAAATTGACAAACCTCTAGCCAAGCTCATCAAGAATATAGAGAGAAGATCGAGTTACCCATATCTGGAATAAAAGAGGGACTTCATTACAGGCACTTAAGACATCAAAAGAATGATAATGGAACACCATAAAACTATTCTGTGCACATAAATTTAACAGCCTAGATAAAATGAACAAATGTCTTGAAAAATACAGGCTGCCAGAGCTCATTAGGAAAGGAAAGAAACAGGAAATTTTCTCAACCTGCTGAAGGTCACCTACAAAACCCAACAGCTAACCTCATACTTGGTGGTGAAAGAATGATCACTTTTCCTCTAAAATTAGGAATAAGGCAAGGATATTTGTTCTTTAACTAACATCATACTAGAAACCCTAGCCTGCAGTAAAGCACCAAAAAAAAGGGAAATAAACAAAACGCTCTCTATTCGCAGATGGCATGATTGTCTACATAGAAATTCACAAAGAATTTACAAGAAAACTATCAGAACTAATAAACGAGACGGCAAAGCAAAGGTGGCTGCCCCTCCCCCTTATTTGTCACCGCTTCTCCATCTCCCCCAGGACTGATCCGAAAATAACTTACCGCAGCCTGTTTTAGAAAAGCCGATAGAAGATACAGTGGTTGCACATAAACTGGATGCCAAGAACGGTGTTGGAGGAGCCCCCCATCGGTCTAGCACTTGCATTAGGCTTTTTATTTTCCATCAGGATTGAAGGCACCCCTCCCATATGCTTGGTGCTTTTAAACATACGGACTGCGCTGCATCAGCTGCGCAGTTACCCGTGCTCCAAGCTGTTAAATTCAAGTATCTGCTGCTCGACTTTGTCAAAAACTCCGTAGCTCATAGTGGACAAGCCGTAGTCTCCGTTCCCTTCTTTCTTGTTATTCCCCCCAAGTCGGGACAGCTTATAGGAGAGCTGGGTAAGGAACCCGTGGTCTTCACTTCCAGGAATTGTCTTCACTGTGCCCTGATGTCATGCCTTCAACTAACGTGGAGCAACCCCAGGAAACCTCTCATGGAACCCATGCTTACCTTGAGTGAAGGGATGTGGTTGAGTGCACTGTTAGCCTGAATTTCTATTTATTTTTTTACTCTACTCTAGTGCGTGTATTCATTAAGCCGTATAAAATCCCTTGGGAAGCCACATGGACTGTATAAACGCAACGAAATATCTTAGTGGTCCAAGGATCATCTCTGAAGGAATTCTGCAATGATGCAAACTTTCCATTAGGGGGAGCTAGAGTACTAATGCTAAAAATACTGCAGGTTAAAATAACATCGTTTGCAAATTGCACAATTGTTTCTCAATTAGTCTTTATTATTTTCATGTTTTCCGCTATGTATAAAAGGCATACATAATTTAAAGGTATCATTTGAATATATGGTATAATTTAGGAGGGGAACGTGAATCTTAAAACTTATGCCCTACTTTTTAACAGTACTTTGAACAGACCTGATGAATTTGGTTTGAACTCAGGGGAATTTTCCTAAATCAAATGCTGAAGTTTTTTTAAGCCTAAAAATGTTTTAGAGGTAAACAGAGTACAATAAGAGTTTTAAAGATAATTCTTTTGGTAAAATGTATTGTTTGCTTTTTATCTGTCACTGAAGGAAGACAAAAATGTATTTTATTCACTAAATCTACCTGGCATTTACTTTTTAAATTGTAGCCACGGACCACACTCAGAGATTAGGACTCACAGCTGTGGGCATATATCGCAGGACCAGTTAAGGAAAGGAGTGGGTGCTGCCAGGTAAGGAGTCCACAGAAGGCTGAAAGGGAGGGAAGCAAGGGACTGGTTTTCCGCCAAGTGGCACAGTCCCCGTGAGCCTGGGGAAGGAGTTTAAAGAGGACACATTAATGTCAGATAGAGCGTGAGGAGCAAAGAGGCCAGAAGTACAAAATCTTCTCCGAGGAAGAGAAAAAGAGACGCCAACGTGAACTTTGTAAGTATGTAACCCTTGACCGGCATCCCTTTGGAGGGTTATGATCTAACTTACACCAGCAGGACGTAAAACAGGACTCCTCTGGCTGCAGGATTGTGTTCGGTAATGATTCAGTTTAGAGTGTAAGCAGAAGATGTGAACTTCCCTCTGGTTTCTCTCCTTGGCAGTTGGGTTTAGGCAGAGAGAGTGCTTGGAGAGGCCACGGAGGGGTGAACAGGAGAAAGAGGAGAGGAATAGCAGGTGCTGAGGAAAGGTCATTGTCTCCTGGTTTCTTAGAAAGTAGGGCATCAGCAGCAGGTGACCAGGGGGGTTCCAGGGGGGCGGGGGTCCCGGGGACTGGGTGGAGCAGGGCTTCTCAGCCCGCAGGCTCTCCTGGAGATTTTCTGGTTTGGTTCTTTTCTGTGCTATTCTTATGGCGATATAACGTACATAAAGAAAAGGACACAAATCATAAGTTGTACAGAGGACAGGTTTTTCTCAAAGTGGACAAGAAAGAGTAGCCTCCAAACCTCAGAAGTTGCCTCTGACGTACCATCCTAACTGCTAACGCCATAGCCTAGTCTGCCGGCTGTTGAACTTTATGTAAATGAGTCATTTGTAAGGTGCTCTGTTGCACAGAACAGGGCCGATAGGGACATTGTTGCTCTGTCATGTGGTGGACAGAGGTGTGCACCCCTGTTGGGAACACCTAGGGGGAGGATTGCTGGGTCATAGGGTGTGCTTATATACTCATAGATACCAACGAAGAAGTTTCCCACAGGACTGGTACCAATTTACAGTGTCTGTGTATCCTGTTACCGAAAGTGGGGTCTGGCTGCTCGCCGCTCAAAAGCCAATAAAGAGCAAGGTTGGTGGAAAGGAAAGTTTGCTTCATTTCGGAGGCCGGCAACCGAGAGAGAGGGCAGACTCCTGTCCAGAGGCTGACTCCCCCCTGACATCAGTGGGCGAGAGCTTTTAGAGGGGTGTTTCAGGGGTGTATAGTCGGAGGGAGGGGGCTACATGCAGAAACAGCACAGTCGGCTCTGACCGTCATCTTGAAATTGGTCATCGGTGGTCTGACCAGCGTCGTCTTGATTGTTTTAAGTACCATTAATATTCAGTTCCAGGGTGGGTTTGTTCCCACTTCCTTGAGGCCAGTTCTCGGAATTGTGGCAGCTTATGTCATGGCTACAGTCTGGGCATCATGTAGTTAACTTCTTCCACCTGGTGGAGGTTTCAGTATCTACAAGACAGCTCACAGGAGATGGCTCGGAATCTATCTATCTATAGCCCTTGAGAAGGAACTGAAGGTCCTTGACAGTGCTTAATGACTAAACTATTATTATTTAGTCTTGTTGGACTGTTTTCCTTTGCTTCTGCATTTTCCCACTTCTCTGATTAAACTTATTCTTTTTTTTTTAAAAATATTTATTTGGCTGCGCCCGGGTCTTAGTTGCAGCATGCAGGATCTGTAGTTGCAGCATGCATGTGGGATCTAGTTCCCCGACCAGGGATCAAACCCAGGCCCCCTGCATTAGGAGCCAGAGTCTTACCCACTGGACCACCAGGGAAGTCCCTAAACTTATTCTCTGACTAAAGTTTTTCTACAGGCAAAAGGCAGGCGGAGGACATGGTGGGGAAGGACCATAGGGTCCTGCTCCATTTTAATACCAGTGGCTCTATAATTAAGCTACTGGCATTTACTATTACTGTAATAATAACAATCTATTATCTTATAATAAAATACTATAATTATTCAAATAATCAAATAAATAATTAAATATAATTATTAATGATAATTATATTAATAGAATCTCTTAACAATTGTATATGGTCAGGCCACTCAAGATGGCTGTTCTCTTGCTCTCTGGACATCCCCTGCCCGACCAGGGCCTGCTTCACCTACGCCCTACTTACAAGACTGACCTCCCTGTGTACTTGCCCTAGGCCCCAGCTGGTGATTATTCTTATCAAAGTGGGTGGTGAGGGGCGTGCCCCTCTGCTGGTTTCCCTGGTAACTAATGAGCCCACCTGACGTCAATTGCCCTGTAACTGGCAATCTCCCCTTCCCCCACCCAGGGGAGTGAAGACTGCCACTATGTCCCGCCTCCTGTCCACTGCACATGGTGGGGTGTCGCTCCAGGACCCTGCTTCATATGTGTAAGCTCCCCCATCCATTAAACCACTTACGTCTGTCTTGCTGACTCTGGGCTCTTTCTTCCGTCTTGAAGCTGGGCAAGCAGAGGGTTTGTAGGCCTGTGAGGTACAGCCCAACGACTTGAAATTGCCCATCTTTTTTCATTTTATCCATTTTGATGGATGTATTGTGTTATTTCATTGTGGTTTTAATGGGGTTTTTTTCCATTTTTTCTATTAAGTTGTCCGCCTTTTACTTACTGATTTGTAGACAGTCTACGTATCCTGGATACTCTCCTGAAGTATTCGTATAAAGCTATAAATGCTAACTCATGATACCAGAGAAACCGATGTCTTTGAGCTGACAGAGCCTCAGGGAGAAAATCGTAGATGGTAAAGCTCTTACTCAGTGGCAGCTGGCCTTCCCAGGACTGTGGTTCAAAAAGCCGCAGGTGCCAACGCCATTGTATGGGTCACTTCCAGGAAACAAGGGTGTAAGTTAAAAGCAACCCAAGGAATATGTGACTCTGATTTACTGGAAAACTTTTTTGTCTCATTTTCCAAAGAAAGTCACAGTGTTGAGAGCAAGTTCTAGAATGAGGCATTCCGTCAAACTGTGGTCCACGTGATCTATTGGCAAAACAAGCAAGCTTCATATCTGGTTAACGACTTGCTCTAAAATGAGCCCCACCTGCCACTAAGCAGAATCCTGGCATCGACTCACTGTTTGGGAAACAGTAACATGGGTTCACTCAGATGAATTTATAATTACCGGCTATTGTCACTCAAGAGTTAGGCCTTTCAGGTTAGGCTGTGTGAGAGTCAGGAAGGCTGGAGGCTTTCTCAGGGGTGACCTTCCAACTCAGGCTCTAATGCCTTGTCTGCAAGCCCAGCAGCCTGGCCAGGGGTCCTCTTACTTCAACAGTGACAGCCAATTACTCACCCAGTTGGCCCCCTGGAGTATCTTATCTCTCACCAGGTAGATAAGGGCTTGGAGAACAGATTTGATAAAAGACAGGAACTCCTGCAGATTTGGCCTTAACCTGACAATAAAGCAAAGCTGCTCAAAACCAGCCTGACCCTTTTTTTGCATTTTGACCCTGGCATAATTTATGATGACTATTTGAAACTAAATAGTTTCATTTAAATTAAAGCCATTTTCACATTGCAAGAAAGGTCTGATTTCATAGGAAGAAATATCAATACTTGAAATTTAAAGGCAGTGCAAAAATCTCTAGCCATCGCCAGCACTGATACAAAGCAGTTGGTGAGCTCCTGGGTGCCGGTGGCCTCAGCCCTTTCATTTCCATCACAGACCTGGCTTTGTCATCGCCAAGGTCACTTCCAGCCCCTCCCGGTCACACGCTGCCCCGGGCTGCAGGCACAGGGAGCTGCCTCGGACTCTCATTTCATTTTGCCTTTGGCCCAAAAGATCCAGGTTCCTTTTTTCTTTTGCCTTTTCTCCTTGGGCAGGATTTTAAATTGCGCCCTGAGGTTTTCTCACTATCCCAGGTCTTTGTTTTTAATGCCTGGCACCTGGTCCCTTTCAGGTTTTTCTGTTGGCTTTCCTTTTCTTCACCATTTGTGCAATATTTTTCATCATCACTACTTTATGATTTTTCCCTTCATTAGGAAGAAAAATGCTGTAAGTCTTACAGATGCTTGAAGGTCTTTTGGAACTGCTGGGCCCACCATACCCCTCTACCCCGACCCCATGCAAGCTTAGCAGCTGCCAGGCCTTCCTCCTCTTGGGACCCCACCCTGTGGGGTGGGGGAGGAGTCGTATTGCCATGACAATCAGCAACCTGCAAGTCAGCTAGTTGAGGGTGTGCTAGCTCAGGCCTGGGGCCCTGGCCCAGCCTGGGGGCCCTCCCCAGCATTATCAGAAACAACCTCATTGGGTGCCCCCCAAGTCCTGGCTGCTCTCCCAGCTCTGTGCTCACTGGTCTTAGTAGCTACTTAGGGTGAAGCCTACAGCCGGGGAGGGTCCACAGAAAGTGATGCGTATTTTCTCTGCAGGGAATCAGTCATCCCTCTGTCCTCAGTGCGTTTATTCCGAAGTCAAGAATGAATGTCCAGGGACTTCCCTGGTGGCGCAGTGGTTAAGAATCTGCCTGCCAATGCAGGGGACACGGGTTCGAGCCCTGGTCCGGGAAGATCCCACATGCTGCGGAGCAACTAAGCCTGTGCGCCACAACTACTGAAGCCCGTGCGCTCTAGATCCCACAAGCCACAACTACTGAGGCTGCGCTCTAGAGCCCGTGAGCCACAACTACTGAAGGCCACGTGCCTAGAGCCGTGCTCCACAAGAGAAGCCACTGCAATGAGAAGGCTGCGCACTGCAACGAAGAGTAGCCCCCGCGTGCTGCAACTAGAGAAAGCCTGTGCATGGCAACGAAGACCCAACGCAGCCAAAAATAAATAAATAAACTTATTTAAAGAAAAAAGAATGAATGTCCAAAGCCGCCATGATGGTCAGGCTTGGTCCTGACGCTGAAGGCAGGGGAGAGAGGAGAGCTCTAAGAAATTGGAGGGGAAAACCGGACAGATTTTGTACCTCATTTGCAAGGGCAGATTTAATTTTAACATCTTGCCATCCTTAAACCATAGTAGTTCTTCCTAGGGAAGGCTTCCTGGGGGGGTCTGTGCAATGTCTGTCTTGAAAGCTGCTTAGCAACCAGCTTGAACACGACATGGATGGATCATGTATAAACCACTTTGAAACAGAAGCTCACAGGCGCTGGTCACTGGGAGACACTCCAGAGGCAGCTGGGGAGCAGGGCAGTGGGGAAGGGAGGCCACCTGAGCTGGCGACTGGCTGTCCTGTGTAGCCCCAGCAGCAGAAGCTGATGGTCTGACCTTAAGATAAAATCCCTATTGATCGACAGTTGTCTGGGCACTAACAGATCAGGAAGCAGAAGGGCCTTACTCTTTGCTTCCTGTGACTTTCCTGCTAATGATGCTGAGATGAATAACAAGCCTCAAACTGAAACTCAATTTCCTCCCAGGCTGCAGAGGGAAGCAGGGGCAGCTGGAGACGGGGTGGCCGGTGGTGACGCACCTCGTCTGCCCAGGGCACGGGCGAAGCCAGCGCAGCCCATCACGTCCACCGACTGTAATTAGGAAAAGGCCCTGGACTCCGACAGATCTTGGTTGTAGTTTTTAGTCTGCCGCTTAGGAACTATGAATTTGGAAATTTCACCCGATTCCCTGAACCTTCGATTTCCTCTCCTCTATAATATGAGATTGTCAGGAGGATAAGAGCATATATGCAGGGTCCTGCCTGAGACAAACATTGGCTGGGAGTGTTCACATTTCCCCCATTTGGGGCTGAAAAAAGGGCGTATCCCTGGGAGCCAGGCATGTGTGGATGGCCCCTGGGTAGATGTCCTAGCCCCCATCACAGAGGAGGACCCGCAGAATGGTTCATGGACTTCGGGGGCTGAGTGGTGACAGAAGCCCAGGCTCCTCCCTGCTCCTGCTTCTGGAAGCTTGCACCCTCCTTGAGCCTGGCTCAGATGAACATCCTCGACCCTGGTTCCCTCCTTCCTTCATCGCAGGCAATGACTTCTCACCCGTAGGCTGGTTTCAGTGCTTAACTCTTCTGTTAAAGCCTTTCTCACGCTCCGCTTTGGATGGCTCTTTCCTCCCCTGGCTTCTGCCACCGCAGACCAGCTCTGCGGTTTTTGAACTTCATGCAAAGGGACTCACCAAGTGTGCTATTGGTGGACTTTTACAAAATGCTGGGTACCTTCCCATCAGCTCTGGAACTGGAGGCAGGTGAGCTCCCTGCTCACAGACCCTGACCTGCCTGCAGGCCCAGTCAGGACCAGCTTCTGGAAAGAAAAGCGTTGAAAAAAGTAAACAGCTTTCCACTGAATGCCCGATGGGAATGGAGCACGCACAGCCCGGCGGGGACTGTGGCCACTCAGGTGGGCCCCTGACCTGGCTGCAGGTGTCTCGGATTCTACGTGGCTTCCTAGGTGGTTCTCTTGGATGTTAGGAGACCTGTGAACTGGAGGAAAATCCATACTTGAAAATCCAGACCAAACAAAGTTGACTAATCAGAGTCATCACCAAATGATGGTAATTTCCTTGCTTTGCCAACGTGACCTACAGTGAATTGAACCGATTTTCAGGAACCTATCCACACGTCTATCCAGACGTACCTGATTGGACCGTATTTGTGTTTTCATTCATTTATTTGTTCCTTTATTTGCCCATCCTGCCTTAGCTGTCAGCCACAGGGCGAGAACAAGAACAGGAACTGACTGTGAATATTAAGGTGACTTTCTTGACTCCACAGGCCGGCGTAGGCTGCTCGGTATTTGAGTTATAATTACTTCTTGAGTCTGTCCCCTGCAACTAGATTGTAAAGTACTTGAGAGCCTGGGAGGTTTCAACCTTTGTTAACGTCTCTGACCCAGAGCAAACATTCAGTGAATGTACCCTGATAATAAATGTTTCTGGACAGAAAGAAAGGGGGGAGGGGAGAACGGAGAGGGAGAGAGGGAGGAAAGGAGGAAGAAAAGCAATGCAGTGTGACTGTACAGAGCTGGGGCATTTCTGTAGGTACATGGATGGATACACAGATACATGTAAACCGCACCCCTGCAAAGTTCTTGAAGAAATGCGATTTCTGTTTTCTTCAGAGACAGAAGTCTACACTCTTACAAGCTTCACTGTCATATTGTAACTTGAGAATGTAGCATTAATTGCTACACAGAAAGCAAGTGTAACTCACTTGCTGAATGCAAATTGAATAATAAATGGCAAACAATCAAACTTGCCATGGATGGTATTGACTGGGAGAAGGATTAAGGCCCACAGTCCGCAGTGATGGCTGGAGGTCAGCCTTTACCAGTTGGGGGCCGTCAGGCCGGTGTCCCGGCTCATTTTTATTTTCACTTTTACTTCCCTCTCCTCCCTGTGACTTTACCCAGGAAAATAGCACCGCCTGTCACCTAGGAAACAGGTTCTCTCGCTGGCATGTGGAGATGGGTGACCCCACCCTGTCTCATTACAAATGTGCATTTGCAGCTGGGCTCTGGGTGACCTTGCCAAGGACAGAAAGCTAATCCGGTGATGCTGGTGAATTGAGGCCCAGCCCCACCCACCTGGCGTCCTGAGGGCCCGGCTGAGGGGTGGGGATCTGCCTGTTTAAGCTGCTAAACACGCCCATCTCTTAAGAAGGAGGCTGCAAAGTGGTTTCGTTCTGAAAATGATTAAGAAATAAGCCTGATGCTCTGTATTGTGACCGTGCAAGACCCTGGGCCTCTAACTTTGACCACCTTCCTTTTCACCGGGTTCCCCGGAGCGGACGGTTAGCATTGGACTTGAGACTGGGTGAGCTGAGGACAGAGGCCTTGGGTTCCTCCTTTAGTTATGTTAATTGAGAGAGAAGACAGGGGTGAGGGCCGGGACAGTGGGGCCCGGGCGGCCGCTGTGCGGGCTGAGTCTTTATTCTGTAGCTTTGGCAGTGACGGCTCCTTTCTGGGCCCTTTGTCGCTGTTGGCTCGGGGACCTCGGGGCTGCGCTCCAGCTGTATGCAAAGTGCGGCCAAGGGCTCGGGGAGGGGGCCCAGCGCATTGTCCTTCTGTCACATCCTCCCTACCATCCTCCCGTCCTTTATGTGATAACAGCAACCGGCACCTTTGGCTACTAGGTGCTATTTTAAGCCCTTCAGCTGGTGAAAGGACTTGATTCTTACCACAGCCTAGGGATGGGCACGGTGTGTGCTCTGATTTCAGACGCGGGACCACAGACTCCCAGGCTGCCTGAGTGCCCGCGGGGGAGGTGGGCCCAGTGGGGAGGGCCACGCGCCCTCCAGGTGGCTCCTCCATCCTCACTGGCTGTCGGGCTGTCTGTCCCCTGCCGTCTAGGGTGACCCGCCGGGCCTGGACCCAGAACTGCCGCGTCCTCCCCGCCTGGCGTTCCCAGTCCCGAGCACGGCCGGCTGCAAGGCCAAGGGCAGTTCCAAGGTAGGGTGCTCCCCGCAGGACAGTCCAGATTCCAGGGAAAAGACACCTCTTGCTTGTCTAAAGAGAGGCTGTGTGTGTGTCTTTTACCCAGGAGAACAATGATGGAATCAATGATTTTAACCTGCGTTGTAGGAGCTCCTAGCCAGGTGATGCTCTGGGAAGCAGACAGCCAGGGGCCCACGCCCAGGAGCTGACCTTCCCAGGGCAGTAGGCGAACTTTTTCTTCTCTATTTTTATTAAAAATAAATTATGAAGTTTATTTATTGATTTTTGTATAATCCAACTAAATAAAAGCATTTTGACTTATGTATCCCTCAACTAACTTTTGTTCTGTACGTGTGTAATCCATGGTGAAAATCAAGGCCCTCCCTCACACTGTTCCATCTCCCATTTCTGAGCTAAAGAAGTTTGTACTGCTGTTTTCACTGGTTAATTAATTGTCTCATCTTTGGGTAGTTACAGTTTTAATCCAGGTGTTAGTGATAAAGTTCTCAACTTTAATCAGGTTGAGAAAACAGGGCTAAATTTTTGCACTTCTAAGTGAAAAACATGCATGTTGTCAGTTTCTCCAGCTGATATAAAATGTGACATGTTTCCTTAAATCAGCGGTTGACTAAACTTCCTATGGTTAAGAGAAGGTTTAACTTAAGGCACTTTTTTAGACCTTCATTTGCAAAATTGCCACATTCCCTTTATAGGAGGGATGGGGAAATTTACAAAAAGTATTTGAATTCTGGAGGCCAAGCCTATGCTTTTCATTGTCTCTTGAAATTCTCACCTGGAGTTTCCTTGCCAAAACGTCAGTGGAAGGCTATAGCTATTGCTCCCCTTTTCCTTCAGGAATTTCTCAGTGCTTAGAAAAGACTTTCTACTGTGAGGCTGAACTTGTATTTCTACTGTGAGGCTCAATTTGAAATGGGAGCTAGCACGGTGTGGTGGAAAGGAAATTGCACCGAGGTAAGGCGATCCGGTGAGGCTGATGAATGGCTAAAACTCTGTTTCGTATGATTTGTGTACTTTCATCTCTAAATATGATGTACAAAATCTTTTTAATTTTTTTCTATAATTTAATGAGAGTGTTTGTAAACTACTGAAAGGTGGATTTACGTAAAAGGTTTTTTCCCCGTTTTGAAGATGTCAGATTTGAGGCCCTTGTTCCTCCTCTCCGGAGCCCTCCCCCCACCCCTGTGCAAAGTCCCACAAGGTGGGACAGGGGGCTCAGGATGGAGGGGCAGGCAGGTAGGCAGGAGTCGGGCAGGGAAAGCTGCTCAGCGGCTGCCTGTTTTCTCTAGACCAGCAGTTCTCAAAGTATGGCCCCTGGACCAGCAGCCACAGCATCACCGGAGATCTTGCTGGAAATGCAGGTTCTCCCCAGTCCTGCTGAATCAGAAACTCTCGGTTTGGGGCTTCCCTGGTGGCGCAGTGGTTGAGAGTCCGCCTGCCGATGCAGGGGACACGGGTTCGTGCCCCAGTCTGGGAGGATCCCACATGCCGCGGAGCGGCTGGGCCCGTGAGCCATGGCTGCTGAGCCTGCGCGTCCGGAGCCTGTGCTCCGCAACGGGAGAGGCCACAACAGTGAGAGGCCCGCGTACCGCCAAAAAAAAGAAACTCTTGGTTTGGACCTCAGCGATCTGTATTGAAACAAACCCTCTGGGTGATTCGGTTGCACATTAAGAATCACGACCCCATAGTCCCAAAGACAAGAATATTTTCAAATTAAGAAGGCTCTACGGCCTCTTCAGATGCCAGTTCAAAGCAGGAAAACAAAACACGAAGGGAAATAATACTGGATAAAAGCTTTTCTTTCTAAAATATACAAGAAGAGAAGTGTGGAAGAGACGTCACCACAGTGCACGAATGTTCATTATAGCTGGTGGACAAGATGTTATTTTCCATAATTTGTTCAAATGGTTTGAAAAATCCAAAAGAGAAAATGCTACTTTTCTAGTTAGAACTTTTCACTTTGCCTTTTCCTTTGCTAAATTCTTCTAGGAATCAGTGGTGTAAATTTAAGAGACATCCTTTTAAGTGTAAACACAGTGACATATACCTTCAGGATCTTCTTTCCTCCCAGCATGAAAATGCTTAAAAACAGGGAATACCCTGGCAGTCCAGCGGCTAGGATTCCACGCTCCCAATGCAGGGGGCACGGGTTCGATCCGTGGTCAGGGAACTAGGATCCTGCATGCTGCACAGTGTGGCCAAAAAAAAAAGCTTAAAAACAATAGAATTCCCAAAGGAGATAATTTCCCTATGTTCTTATGGTGCCTGGTTAGCTAATGGTTGATTTGACACGTGGCCAATAATAGTTTACTCCTGTCTACCCGCAGACCCCCAGGGAGGGGCTGCGAGCACAGGTATTAGGACATGGGTGTCCTCGTGACCTTTGACTGTAGCACAGGGTCCCCGCCTTGCCTTTTGTGTCAAGTTGTGATAGGTCAAAACTCTACCAATAAAAACACAACCTCTGTTGACAGAAAGTCCTCGAAATATTGACAAAATTTAAATTCAAAAACGAACAAGCCAAAGAAAGGAAGGAGGGGAGGGGCGCAGAGGGGAAGAAAGGAAAGGAATCCTCCCCTAGAGAACCTACCCAAATGCCTCATGCTGACTTTTATAAGCCATTGTCTCTGTTTGTCGGGCTTACAAAAGTTTTTTTTTTTTTCTCCCATAAACTGGCCCAAAATAACACACATGCTATGAAATCCACACCTTCAGTCAAGCATTTGGATTACAGATAATGATATGGTTTAGACCCTTGAGATCAAGGTATAATTTTACACATTCATAATTTTTGTCAGCTTTTCTGCAAAAAAAAAAAAAATTGACAAATGGTCACACTTCTCTGGAGTGTGAAGAGATGTGTGACTCCCTTGGTGTCCTGAGCTGACAGACCTGCTTCCATGGAGCTGGGGCTGAGGATGTGCCCGAGCCCTGAGGTGACACGAGTTGTGTGGCTTTAAGGGGACAGATCAGGGCTCAGAAAACCATCCTACCCCTGCCATCCTCCACAGGCGGTTAACCAGAATCCTCTACCTGGTTCTCTAAACCCCTACGAACTGGCGAATTTGCAGAAGAAATGAAGAAGAGAGGAAACTTACCTTAGTTACTGAGTGCCTGCGTGCTTTACATACAGTCCTGTGGAGGTAGGGTCCCCAAGCTGGTGGTAGCTGACAGCGTCCATCTCAGCCTCGCTGCCCACACTCTCCTTTCAGGATGAGTGCGCTACCCTTGACCCCGGGAGCTGGCAGCCTCCCTCACAGGACCAGGGGCAGACACCTGGCCCAGGCTGGGTCAACCAGATTTTCTCTCCTGGGAGCTCAGGGACACAGCGGCTGTGTCGGATAGATGTGGGGAGCAGAGCTGCAAAGGCAGGTGTGGTCAGCGGTCCAGGCCATCCCTGCAGGAGACCAAACCCACAGACGGAAAAAGTACTAGAGCAAACAGCCACAGGGAGCCTAGACAGATCGCTGGCAGAGAGACGTGGAGACAAACAACCCCACTGCTGTGCAGAAGGCAAAAGCTCTCAGATTCCCTCATGCCACGCAGCGGGGCCCCGTTTCCTGGAGGTCTGAAGGGGTAGCTCTGGGTCCTCCTTAGTGAACTTGAGTGGGCTTGTGATCCTGGTGTAAAAGAGTGTATGTCCCAAACCCAGTTGACTTTTGGGAAGACATTAGCATTCTTCTTCTTTTTTTTTAAATTTATTTATTTGGCCGAGCTGTGTGGCACGTAGGATCTTAGTTCCCCGAATAGGGATCAAACCTGTACCCCTTGTTTTGGGAGCGTGGAGTCTTACCCACTGGCCCACCAGGGAAGTCCCAGCATTCTTGATTTTAAAAAAGTTAAAACAACAATTTAACAAATGGTAAACTTTAATGGGATAAAGAACTTGTGCTGAGAAACCTGTCACCCACCCACCCAGTCAAGTGAGACAAAAGTGATCTTTAATCAAACATCCTTTTCTTATGGTATCTGGTCTAACGACAATCATCTAATAATCTTTTCCTTCTCCTATAAAATGTCCCTGGCAAGAGTGAATCGTATCTCTCTACCAGGGGCCTTTATCTTTGTGTGCAAGATTGCACTAAATCTCAGATCGTGATCTGCAAGGTTTGCTTTAGGCACAGGGATCAGTCATGCCCTGAGGCAGCGGTGGTCAAACGTGGTCTCACCTGGGAACTTGCTGGAAACACAGATTCTCAAGTCCACCACAGACCTACGAATAGAGCCCTGGAATGGAGCTCCAGGTGATGCTGACTCGGGGGAAATTGAAGAACCACTGCCCCGAGGACTTGGAAGCTCCTAAAGGTGGCTGCGGGATACCTGTCAGGCCCGCCCTTGGGTGGGTTGCATGGAAATGGAGAGACCCATCCATAAACCACTTTTCCATATTCTTCTTGACTCCGAGAGGCCTCAGTCCACTGAAATGAGCCCTCTGTCACTGAAAGGGGCCCAGACGGGGACCCAGCGAAAAGCCCACCTGCTGTTTACGCTTAGCTGGGAGCTTTGTTTGGGGAGCACAGCCGGTTGCTGTTTCACCGCCCCGTGTGTTGGCTGCTCAGTTTCCCGGCTTGCTCGGGAGAAGGTTAATGAGAGCCTGCTGAGCCCTCCTCATGGGGAACAGGCCCCAGCAAGGCAGTGAGACCGGGCTTGGCTTGCGGTTCTCAGCTGTGCAATCCCCCCACCCTGACACACTTAGTTTGGGGATAACATCACGTCCCCAGTTGGGAGGCTCCAACTTGACAGATGGCAAGAGCTAGCGTCTTTCTTTAGAATGTGGAGCAGGGAAGGAGCCTTAATAATCAAGGGAATGCAAATTTGGAAAAGACAAAAGCGGTCACCTCCTTTGTAGACCATCTCTCACCAGCCCCCTCCTCCTTCATCAGGGAAAATCGTTCACCCTTTCCTCTGTGCCCGCTGCACCCCTCTCCCCGACACAGGGTAACACGTCCACCTTGCTGGTTCCCTGGCTGCTTAACAAGAGTCTTTGAGGCCAAAGCAATGGTTAGTCATATCTGTGTTCTCTGTTGGGCAAAAATTATTTGCTGAATGAATGAGGCTTAACTAGGGCTGATTCAGATGTTTGGGTGGAAAATGGAGTCAGCCAGCAAGTCCTGAGACCCATTCCAGCAAAGCTTCCTGACTATACAAGTTCCTCTTGGAATCTACACGCATGCACACATGCACACACACACACACACACACATATCTTTTTTTAAATTGAAGTCTAGTTGATTTACAATGTTGTGTTAGTTTCAGGTGTACAGCAAAGTGATTCAGTTATATATATATATTCTTTTTCAGATTCTT